GGACACAGTACTGTCTTTTCAAATGAATTTCAGATATTCGACGTTTTCTCGAAACACAGGAGTACCGCAATAATCAATTTGCTTCAAATGGACTATTATCTAATCGTGTTCATACATTTTTGAGAAAGAGAACATTCAGTAGACAATCTTCAGTTTGATAGTTCAACATTACTTTGTATTTGTCCACTTTTCAAAACAAATCTGGAGAAGAAGCTTTCTTTAGCGTTCCTTGCTTTTATAATTTCTGAGTTTCTGCTATAATATTTTTATTTTTGTTCTTCTATGCTTCAATCTTACTTTTTTCTTTTTTTGTAAGATCTGTACCCATTTCATGCAACTAAAGAATAATTTTTATGGAATTACTTCGCAATTTACCGTAAGTTTGGATTGAGAATGAATTTTTTAACGTGTGAGGGCTCATTTTAAAGATTATAAGAGCATTACACATACTCATATGGCTGACAACGTTAATGTTCTGCGATTTTTACAATGCGATATCCTACCTACGATATAATAGCAGGGTACATTAAAAACTTGTTTGTATCGCGCTGAACGAAAATTTGGATTTCTTGTTGTGTTGTGCGAACACAGATGTTTTGTTGCCATTGACTTTGGTGAAGCTTTGCGGAGATCGCGTCCAATTTTTGTTCCGCCAAATTAATATTGCTTATCGCGAGTCTATTCATAAATCTTACTTTGACGACTTGTGTTACCGCAAAGTCTGAGCTACAGGAAGAGTCACATCTAAATTTTCACGGACACTTGAACGCCACTTTATTCGCATTTGGATATTCGTACCCATTTATGCCGTTGACATCATTGGCCAGAGTCATCCTCAACGAAGTAAGTGCTTCCATTGATTTAATCACGCTTGGCTAATTTCATTACGAGCATTTCACATTGTTTTCCTAGAGAGCAAAAGAACTCGCTACATCATCGGTCATCACGTGAGAAAACCGTACCCGCGAGCCATTGAAAATCGAGTAAGTGGTGCAGAACTGTGTCATACTTTGAGCACAATCTACCTTTCATATAAGCGGCTTTCAAGTGTTTAATTGGAGCTTCATGATTTCTTCGTCTGCTTGCTGCGAGAAAATGTCGAATTTAAGCTCTTCCTGAGTTTTTCTCATTGAATGGATCGCTCTTCTGGTCTGTGCCCAGAGTCCACAGTAAAATTCTCGATCAGCTAATACACCGTTCGTTTTTCTTCGATAGATTGCAGGCACTTCCGCGACTCGCGTTGTTATAATTCTCCGCTTCCAACAAAAGGAAAGCATAGTGCCACAATCGAATCCAGTTGACAATTTACAGTGCAAAGAGACGCGTGCGACTTTTCTTTCGATGTATTTCGTAACGACGATTTTTTTTTTTTTTTTCGTTGGGCGTCTTCGTTAGGTAACCATTATTTGACAAAAGTATTACGCCAGTATCTTGTTAATGATGGTAACGAACGAACGTTCAGCGGATTATAAGCGATATACGGTTGCGGATCTTTCAGTATTGCGACGGTTAACGCACCTTTTCGCATTCGAATTCGATTGGCTTGTATTGCTACGGCAGGGGGGCTTAGCGGCTTATTTCTGCGCAGTAATGCAAAATTACGATCAGGCGACACAATGCACATAACAAAGACGAGCGCAGTCGTGATGACAGTGCACGTCGCGTCGAAGAGAATGAAATCATTAGATATGTCGCGATACCGGGCAGACACCCTAAGGGGGATATATATATATATATATATATATATATATATACCGCAACCGCGGCGATTATTACGCCGATCTGAAAATCGAACTTGTTAGACGCGACGGCTATTGTTTTCCTTCTTGTTCAGTAGCTGCGGCGCATCGACATCGACCACGCGCAGTCGATTTTGTTCGTGGTCGGCTCGATAACGTTTGGCTGGGATCACATTGCAGACTAGGCGAATCCGTTGCTGCGCGATTCTCGATGGCACTCGAATCCACCAAGTGCTCGCGTATTGCCACACGATAGGCCAGGCGGACTCGCGAGATCGTCAACGTCAGTCGGGGCCAGCCACACCTGCGAGCAATCGAAGACATGAATTCGCCGTGTACTGTACTGTGACGTTGGCTTTAGTTTAGTGAAGTTTACGATCTTTAGATACAAGCATTAAATTATTGATATATCCGACCGACAGTCGAAGGTGTCGTCGCTCACTCGGTAGTTCTCTCTCCATTTCAACAGCGACAACCGTTGAGAATAGATTTCAAAAAATTTGCATTGCGCTGTCAAACCTTCACACAACGACGATAATCGTCTAGCCGAAAGAAGATTTGCTCTTTGGTGAACATATTTTAATAAATTGCCGGCCATTCCATTCTGGCAAATTTCAATTAGTCGAAGAATGCCAGACGTCTTGATCAATAAACAGAAAACTTGCCTCGAGTCCAAATAAAGAAGCGTGTCTCGCGGCAGGTGGACGAGCCTCTAGCAGGCATGGGACTCGTTTCCCGGCGCGCACCGATCAATAAGCGTCGAAGTAAGTCGATAGCAGAAACGACTTATCGATCCGTGACGGTGTTCTTTGCCATGCTTCCTCAGCTCGGATCTGCCGACCTTCCCAAGCTTTTTATTTGCTCGCTTGGCTTGCCATCTGAAAGAAAACTTTGCCTTCCCGTATCTACGAGTCGGTTCTTCTGGCGACATTCACAACCGCGGGGGCGACGCTCGGCCGAGCTGAGGATTCGACATTTTAATCGACGATCTATAGATCGGAAATCAATAAAGTTGTGAGTTTTATGAATGTGCAACGGAATCGGAGCCGTCGAACTCGTTGCATATTGTTTATAAAGCCGCGCGCTCGAGCCGAACGGCGTGGCTGTGTGATTCAAAAGAAATTATCGATTTTGATCTTCCGGTCGTAGTAGGCGTATCGCTACCCCTGACATTTCACAATACCAGATCAACGTTTTTGCCTTCTCACTTGAATCTCGGAAAGACCAGGTTACAAAGATTCATTTTAATTTTTCTTTCGTGGTTAATTCATGTATTCCTAGTTTTTCCACTAGAAAAGCACTAACATTCCTGATTGCGTTAGATTTTCACGCGAGTATGATGTAGCAGGCACCGGATGCGCATATAAGTAGTTGACTTTCTAATTTGCGCCTAATAATCCTATTAAATCGTTAGCTGCCGCTTTTGTTTTATTATTTTTTGAAATTTTTCAATAAGCACGATAACTATGCCGCTGATTAACCGATACTATCAAACAGCCGCTCCTATCTGGCCTTTGGCGTAGTAAAAATTACGCTAATTGCGCGCGCAAAGTGGCCCGGTTTCCATGAGAATCCAAATTGCCCCTGGCTTATCCTTTTGTGGATCTGTGATGACTCTGTTCACATTTCCGTGGAGAACTGCTGCCTTCCGGGCGCGGAGATAAGAAAATTGTATAGCCTGGCAGTGGCATCTTTCGCCCTCATTATCGGCCACTTTCTCACTTCTGTCAACGCAGTCGCAAGCTAATGCCTGCTGATGTTTGGCAGCTCTGTCCCGATTCTCGGAATATCCCGGGTGTGCTGCACACCTTTACAGCCATTGAAGGCAAGTTGCGCCACGGGTTTCCCATTTCAACGTATTATACGGAGACTGGTACGACGTCGCTGGAGATAAAAAAAAAAACTGTCGTCAATGATATCCGACTGCGAAACGCTCTCGAAGATCTTCAGCGCGCGTCAACGTTATAGCACATCATCTTTCCATCGTAACAGAGAGAAAGAGAGAGAGAGAGAGAGAGAGAGATCGCGCGTGAGCATTTAATGAAGCATACGTTGCGCGGAGATCCGGCGTGCAGAGTTTACTCGGCTTATACACTCGAGCAACGTGCAGTCATCGACAAAGGAGGGGAGGTGGCAGAGCGAGGAGGAAAGGGAGGGGGAGCGGGGTATATCGCTCGTTGCTCTATAGAGAATCGCGCGAGTCACGACTGAATGAAGTCCGCGCACCTGTCAGTCGTCTCGTCTCTCGCCGGGCGCTTATATACTCTCGCGCGCACGCACGCGGCGGTAAAAAACGTATGTGTGCGCCGCCGTCGCCGCTCCGGAGGTAGAGAGCGCGTCGGTGCAGCGCACACAGGCGCGCATGGGAATGAATGGCGCGGAGTTCTCTTTTCACTCGTCGCATTCCGCTCCCTTCCGCTCGCCGCACGCCGCTCGCGCATTCTTCGTCCCGAGCCGCCTCTCTGCCGCCGCGCGGCAGCTGATTTGTGGAAACGCGCGCGCACTTTCCGAGCTCCCGGGACTTTCTCCCTTTATTTCTAGCTCCGACTTTTTCCAGCGCTGACCTTAGGTTCTCTTTGTGCTTTGCCTGTCTCGCTCGCGTGGTAATACGATCTTCACTTCCGCTGTCCAATTTCCCGATCCATATCGACAATCGCCACTGGACTTTATTTTTTTTTTTTTTTTTTCGAGGGGGGATTAGGATTTTAACCATCTTGGAGAACAAACGGTAGCGTTGAGTGAATCTCGTTTGGAAATCCTCGATCTTTTTGTGCGACCATGAGACTGTGACGAGACGGTTAGCTTTCTTTTTGTCGGAGATTCGTTGTAAATGTCAAATCACGTTTGGTCAGACGGATTTAACCTCTGATTGTGTATCAACTACCCATATACCGATTGCCATGCTACATTTCGCAACTGCGTCTGACGAAAGACTTGTGTACTGTGACATTCGACTCTTATTCGTGTGAATGACCATGTGACACTTTTATTGTAAGAACGCTGTTTGAATTCTAAAATATACGTTATCTGATCGTTTGGTCTGAAGGGTCAGGACGCTACTACGGCACTCTTCCCACACGCGTTTTTCCTTTCTTCACTCTTCGAGACAAGCTCAGACTTGCCTCGAAAGAGCACGTGTACCCATTCAACAAATCGTTGCACACTCTTGCTCTTGCGATTTCACATACAATCTTATTTTTTCTTTGCTTTTTTATTTAAAAAATCAATATTGCACATTCATAAGCAGACGCAATAAAGTACAATAATGCAGAGGGCATTTGTCATTTTGATCGAAAGGTATTTACAAAGCTTTCTTTTTCGCGCATATTTACGTGGCATAGGTCCCGAAAGAAAACGAAGCAAAAAAACATTACATAGCCGTGGGCGAAGAATTTCGAAAACGTTAATAATCTTACTTTCTTTTTGCTCTCGATAATGAATATTCTGTGGCGAGTGAGGAGCAGGCACGCAAAAAAATAGAAAAAGGGAGCAAGTCAATTATGCTGTAGGAAGGGCTGCCCTAACGAAATCCAATTTGCCATTTCCAATTCGCTTTATGCCCCGGCGCTCGGAGAATAAAAGCAGCCACCGCGGCGTCGATTTAAAACAAGCCAGTACGCGGACGAGTCTCCCAAACCGTCATTTTATTCAAGGCACTTGGAAACAATCAGCTCCGTGCAATGCAACGCAACGATTACGGCCAATCGAAATTGACGGAACGCGTGCGGCGATCCGCATTTCCATAAACTGCGGCACGGCGGCGATCGGGAAAAGAGTGGGAGCGACGGCGACCGAAATTGAGTTTGGTAACGAGGCAGCTGTTCGGCTCGGCGCCCCTGGGTAGCCTGCGCGATAAATCGGCGCAGCGCCCGAGGCGGTGAGCCCCCGCGCGTAATTGAGGTTCGTGCCGAGTGGTCGATTGGACCCGCCGGCTCGGCTCACTGGCTGCGCGTCGACTTGCACGTCTTGTGCTCCAGGCACACGTCGTAGCAGCACTTCTCGTTCTTGCTGCACTGGCCATCGTCGACGCACGCGCTCGGCGACGGACTCGCCGAGGCCTTGGTTCGACGGGGACACGAGTCTCGTAAGCTCGGACAACGCGACAAGTTGAATCCCTCGTTGCCGTCGTCGTCGTCATCGTCGTCATCGTCGTCGTCGTCATCGTCGTCATCGTTTTCATCGGCCGATCGTTGGAAGAACATTGGCCACAGCGAGTAAATCCAAGAGTTGTCCAGCAGCAGCCAGGGGTGCTTGTGAAGATCGAATAGCTCCTCGTAAGCCCAGTGGAGCAGTGGGTTTCTGTGTTTCTTGCGGCCGCTCGAGCAGCAGTGATACTTGCCGGGCTCGTCTTTGCACCAGTACTTGCAGCCTCTGCGTGGCTGTCCTTCGCTCCAGTTGACGCAGATGACCAAAGCGATCGTGGCCAAGATGATCTGTTTACAACATTCGATGTCATTGATTTAATTTGTAACGAGCTGCATCGAGATATGCAATGATTACAAATATGTTTAGTTGAATTCCAATTTTTTAGAAACACAACTAATAAATTGCAATGTCTACTGTATTGCAGTTGTTTTAAATTCGAATTCACCTACTACTGATAATGTTTGAAATTACGAATAAAATTCATATTTATATTACCAGTAAACGATTTGTAACGATTATATAAAGAAATGAAAGATATCTTTAATTGCCTTGCCACACATTAATATATTTTTACTAAAAAATTATTACCAGTAATTATCTATTGCAACTATTCTGAATAAATAAATAACTATATATATATATATATATATATATATATATATATATATATATATATATATATATATATATATATAATTAGTTTGAAAACTTCATTTGCATCCAACTTGTTTAACTACAAATGAAAAATTGTTTGCACAAGTTACTTTTAAAAACAGTTTGTAAAAATATCGATAAAAATTTTTTATTTAAAATTCAATAAACATGAAAAATCTACATCTCTTCGTTGCATACTAAAATACAATGGATGAATAAAAAATGAAATAGAGGAAAAAACTTATTCATCGAGAAAGTGAAATGAGAAAGGATTGTTATAAAAGAACTACTAAATGTTCTTAAAAAAAAACATTTTTAATATTTTTTTGATTTTTTTAGACATAAACATGTATAGATTTCATATTTTCATATTACGTTACGAATAGAATTATCATCATTTAAAATAGTACATCTTCTAAAACGCTTGTAGAATAATACAGTCTAATGATGCAAGTGCGTGTGTAAAAATATTTTCTCGAAAAACAAATTTAATAAAACACCTCGACACAACATGCTAGCTGGCACAAAAACAAATTAGACTGTTTGTAAAGTTTAAAAATGAAAACGACTGAATGAAAAGTATCCGAACCAGATGATGTGTCCTCGCGAAATGCATTTGGCACCGCAAAAGGCTTGATACACGTAACAACACTTGAGTTGTTGAAGCAGAATTGACGATACAGAAGGACGTGCGCTTGGCTTCTTATACACAGCACAGAGCGCGAGTAAAAGGCTTCATTCCCTCTCCTTATAGGAGAAAAGTGCTCGTAAAGAGGTAGGATATATTTGACAATAGACATGTGTCACACCTTTTGAAATAAACAACATTTATCGAACGTCTCTTGCTCTCTCGCCTACTTTTCTTCCGTTACTACTCTAACGGTCGATGCGCCGTTAAAACTATGACATACTCTGATGATTATTATTGTCCGTGGTTGTAAACAGTGTCCGTCTATGTAAATGCATTCGTACTATAAAGTAGTGACGGATAATGAACGAAGCGTCAACGTTTAAAACTCAACTGTTATTTTGACGGATGTATCCGCATGTTAAAAATCTCGCCACAATTCTATTTATAATCATTTTAAATTCGTTGATTGATGCTCAAACAAGACGAAGGAAAGAAACAAAATGAAAATCACAAAAATCAATGTTAACGTATTCTCGTATACTTCCGACAAGAGTATTGTTAAACTGTTTTCCCAACGCAATTGTCTTAAATATCAACGTTGCAATACTATTGTACAGCAATATCAACGCTTTACCTAGTAGACAATTACAAATAAACAATTCACGCTCTCTATCTTCACATATAATCTTACGGCAAGAGCAAAAACAATCGTCCTATGCATCATGTATTGTCCTCGCTAAGGGCACACTTGATCGATATAATCGACGAGCTTGGCTATGTCCTAGGAAGTTGCTGTAGGTAGACCTGGGCTGCTAGACTGTTGCTTGGCACGTCGTCGTTTGTTCAGTAATGGATTGTTGGTATTGTCAAGCTGTTTGAGATTGGCAGTGTCGTAATCGACGCGCATTGTCGCCAATGAACGAGTCATCTCTTCTTGTACCTCCGGCCACATCTCTTCACCTTCTCGTAATACACGATTTGTGTGCAATGGCGTTGCTGGTACTTCAGTGTGTTTCTGCAATGAGGAAAATTATATTGTAGTTTTTTTTTATTTTTGGAAGTTAACAATTTTGAGTCATTATCGATCAAATTTAAAATCTATGGATCCGTTTTTATAAAAAACTAGATATAATCCAGGAATACAATCATTGTATATGTTCAACAACACTCTTTATTTATTTTCATATTTCAATTCGTAAAAGCGATTCATAACGGTTCCGCTTTGACATGCACGGTGTGCCATATTGAACGAGCATATAAAAATAAAAATTTGCGCACATTACCTACTTTAAGATAATTGCAACCGCATTGGTTACAATTCACACTGTGAAGTCTTGACATAAAAATTAATACAGACATCTGGCGAACTTACATATGGTGACCACAGGGGATTCTCGCATTGTTAAGCCGCCTATTTTTCGTGGTTTTTTGTCGGCACCGTTGACTAGGTGCGAATAATGCACTTATTGAACAATCGTGATAATGGTAAATTCAATTTGAATACGTGTTAAAGAATAATAAACCGATACAATATTATTAGCCATCCAAAAGACTAGACATCAAGATGCAATTTGATTTTCAATTTTCAATTTAACACATTAAAATAATTTTGAGACAGATAAATTTCATTATTAACTTCTCGTTTGTTCAACAATTTTACGCTACGAAATATCTAGAACGATATTTACAGAACTTCGATAACGAGTGTGCAATAAACCTTGTAACGGAGCTCAATAAAACTAATTTAACGACAGTCATTTTGAAATAATCGCGGCAGTTGGCAATCCAAGACTCGCATTCGTAAGCTGCGTCTGACACATTAATATTCTTGGATACTCAATAGAGCTTGCAAATCGATAACGTTCGCATCGTAACAATAGAGACTGGGTTTATTGTGATGACTCTGGTAACTTACAGAGATCCATTTATTCCTCATGACCTCGTCGATTTGCAAACGTTGAAGGGGATCCGTGGCGAGCATACTCTTGATAAGGTCACGAGCTTCTGCGCTTACATTCGACCATTCAGGATCTGGAAAGTCATACTGGCCCAAGCGAATTCGCTTTTTCATACCTGGTGAGATTGCCAAGCCGTGCGTACTGTAGAATGGTGGAAATCCGCATAGGCTAAAAAAGAAATTAATCTTTTTAGTTTTGATATAAAATGATTGTCCAAGATTTATCATGTTTGATAGTTTTGTGATAGACTTGTAGAGCTATTTCAGCATGTAAGCTTTGATCAACAAATCAAATTCGGATCTAATGAGTATTTGATAATTGTTCAATAGAAATACAAGATAGATTTTCTAGTTATTTTTCATGCCATGAAATATTATAGTAAAATAAAAGTAAATCCTGTAATGAATAACTGTTACAAATTGTAAAAACCAAATTCGACTTACAATAAAATCTTTTTTCAGCATTTTCAGAATGAGAAAAACTAATTGATTATTTCTTATCAAAACTGATAGAATATAATTTGTACGTTCTGCAATAAAAAAAAGTAAAACCTTTAGTGTAGTTGAACTACTTTTTTTAGAGTCATAAACCAATTAACGTTTACGCGCTACGAAAGTCAATGAGTCAGTTCTTTTTTTTAATACGCAAATAATTCGACTTACAGTATATACATGATGACTCCTAATGACCAAATGTCGCAACTTTTGTCGTATTTTTCTGGCCCAAGAACTTCAGGTGCTATAATTAAAAATGTATAAATATGAATAACATGATTTGGTCTTATAACGCGATATATCATCATATTAACAAATAGCGATTAAATCGTTAAAAAGTAATGAATATAATCGATTAAAATTAACTTACCAACATAGTAAGGGGTGTAACAAGGTGTTTGAAGTGTGTCTTTAAGATGTGTCTCTTTTGCGAATCCAAAGTCTGTTAATTTTAAAATGCCCATGCTACCTGGTGATGGAAAAAAATTATTATTATACACTTGAATAAATAAACAATTAAAAATAATTAATAGCGCGTCGATGTACGAATAGTAGAGATAATAATGTAGAGTTACAACTTAATCAGCGATTCGTAATTAATGAAACAAGTCAATATAATCTCAGTAAAATATACATTAAAATAGCACGAGTCAGCCAAGCATGAAATGAATATTATAAAACAAGAGTGCAGTATAACTATAGACTGCATCAAAGCGTTCTATCAAACTATAAACTATGAATAAAAGTGAATTCAAATTACCAATCGGTAATTGTGGATTGACTGTTAACGAGCGCGAGCGTGTCAGTGTTGGAAAAAATGTGTCAACGTTATTCCTAATTATCCATCAAAAACATCATTGCTGTTCTCATCTGTTACACACCTGGTTTCGAGTAGAGCAAGTTCTCTGGCTTCAGGTCCCTGTGCGCTATATTGGAATCGTGCAGGTGCTTCACGGCGATGCAAATTTCATACATAATTTGGGCTGCCTCTGCGTTGAAGAAGGAAAAAAAACGGAGCATACGGATGACGTGCAGGAACGTTAGTTATTATGTTTCCATGCATTGAATAAAAGTTCGAATCGATGTTATTTCTTCTCGCTCTCGATATATTCGATCACACCTTTAACGCAGGGAAAATTTTGTAGCCGAAGGACAAACGTGCAGCCGCGAATATCGCGCCGAAATAATCATTCGACGAGGCAAACGAACGCGGCGAATAGACGTCCGCGTCCGTTCGTCGGACACAGCGATAATCTCTCGTTTCGATTTGCGCGTAACCCGTTGATTTTAAACGGAGGGTTCGTCGAGTGAAAATTCATGCATTCCGACGAGGCGCGGCGCGGCGCGAATTTTCCGATGAAGCCAGCTATTTTTAGCGCCAGCGCACGAGGCTGATCGCGCGACGAAAGAGGAGAAATCGAAGGCTCGACGCGCATCGCGACAACGTCACTCGGATGGATCTCGAGGCGCGAACGCACGCCTGCGGCAATGCCAGCGGCGTCATCGCGTAAATTTATCCTCGCGGCGCGGGCGGGGGGTTCCGTTCGTTATCAGCTCACCTCTCTCCGTGAAAGCACCGTCCTGTCTATCCTGTATCCTTTGAAAGAGCTCGCCGCCCTCCATGCTAAAAACAGTCGCGCCTTCGTAAATGTACACGCGGACTCTGCGACCGCGAAGCAAGAAGGACCGCGTTGGCTTACCACTCCATGACGACGAGCAGACACTTGTTGCCGCCGTAGGTATTTTCGTAGACATCCTTCACCTGTACGATGTGCCTGCAATTGGACGCCCGCCAGTGCAGCTCCACTTCTCGTCTGGCCTTTACGCAGTCGTGCAGAACCTGCCGAGCGCATTCCTCTCAGTGCCGCGTCATCGTTTCGTTCGTCGGAGCACGCGTCGCGAAACCGGCCCGCGATAAGATATCGAGCGACGCGCCCGGCACCCAGCGAGTCCGTGAAATTACGAGCTCGTTTCGCTCTTTCCCGCCGTCCTCGCCAGCGGCAATTAGAGCGCGCGGAATCATCTCTCCCGATCGGCCGATGCCTATCCTCCGACATGACTCGCGCGCGGCAATATATCGTGGCGCGGAGGCGCCTTTTCGATACCGTGTAATTTCGCGTGCTGCGATATACCGCGATTTCCCGCTGGGAAATCAATTGCCGATTCGCGCCGTCGAACCCTGTGCGCCGCGGCCAGTTTCAAATTATACGTCGCGGTAATGACAGACCGCAACGCTGCCCAGTCGACGAAAAATGTACGAGCATCGCGCCGAGCGAAACGAGAGTAAAGTGCCAGGTGACAAGCAACGTGGAATGCCACGTTGACGCTGTCCGACCTATATAGACGTCCCGACGCGGTGGAAATAATCCGCAGTGCGCGCGTGACGTTTTTAGGTCAAATTCATCTGGAATTCCAACTGGGGCCTCTCGGGTATTTCCTCCGTGCGCGGGACGCGCACAGCCTCGTGTTCGACCGACCGGCCGACCTCGTGGGAGCGACAAGAAAAAAAAAGAGAGAGAGAGAGAGAGAGAGAATTTTCTTTCCTTTCGCTATGAATAGACGCCGAACAAGGGCTGCTGCACACGGACACGTGAGCGCGGTGAGTCAGACGGTGCGCGCGCTTTCACCGCCGCGGCTGGAATCGGCTTAGTCAACGAAATGACGCGAGGACGTGTGCAGTGTGACGAAAGCGCGCGACACTTGCTAATTAGTCCGTGGTTCATGCTTCTGCCGCTCGCCGCGACTTGTCGGGATTCCCCGAGAGCGACGTGCTTCCGACGGGTTCGAGACGCGGGAAAGCCAATCGTCCGCTTTTCCTTGCTCTTGCGCGCCGACTTTTCTCCGTCTCCGTCGCGAATACGATTGCGCGGCCGATCGGAACTTACCTTGAGGGCGCACTTCTCGCGAGCCCGTCTGTCGTAGCAGCGCACCACTTTGCCGTTGATGCCCAGTCCCAGCACGTGATTGCTGATCTCGTAGTCGTCGGTGATGGGGCTAGTCTTCGGCTGCCTCGCCTCGCTCCAAGTCGACGGCTGATCCATCCTCCGCAGCGGCGCCGACCTTCCGCGCGCGCGACGCCTGTAACGCTCTGCAAGTCGCGACAACATATTACTGGCCGCTCCACTGTCGAGATTCGGCGAAATCTCCGCAGTGGCACGTGCGCGATCGATGAATGGGGGCTCGCGCGCGGCATTATCAGCGCCGACGACCGCGGGGGCCTCCCTACCCGCGCGGTGAACGCGCTGAAAACTCCGCGCGCTCGTCCGAAAGTGGGAGCGCGCGGCCGACCGCTTGCCCACGCCCGCGAATGCGCGTGGCTGTATTCGTTTGCAAACGCTTCCGAATCTTCGCGTTGTCCTGTCAATTTCTCCCTCGAATTTCTACGCCGCTTTCCGTAAAAATAAGCACTTATCGGCTGCGTTTTCTGTGTTAACGATAGATTATCATGATTTCGTCGTTAATCTCGGAAGGAAGTGGTTAAAAACAAATGACAAGCTCATAAATAGCAATGATCGCAACGCAAACATTTCGTGGGCATAACTTGTGTTTGGTCGTGTCCACACACCGAAAATAAATCGCTTCGGGCCTGTATGGAAGCAGTCATTAAACGAGCGACAACTGACTCATATAATCGCGATAAAATCGAGTAATTTCTTTTTATCTTGATAAGCTTGCGGGAACACCTTTGCCAGGGCAAGAATGACAAATGAATTGCCTTCAGGCTGAAACTTTTAGGCGATGACATTCACCTCAAAAGATTGCATGCATATCTATTGGCTTGCGACGTTCTTATCAAGATCACCCAATCTATTTCTCTCACTGAAGGATTCAATGACAGTGTAAAAAGCGTTATAGTATATGTATATAACAATCGCTCGCTCGCCTCGATTTCCATCGATCGATCGCCGTCACGCGCTCAAACATTATCGATGTGTAGGAAAAAATTGTTCTATCTATCTATCCATCTATTTATCTCTTTCTTTCTCTTTCTCTCTCTCGCCCGCGCGCGCGGCAATCACGTCCGCAAGCAATCCTCCTAATATAAAGGAGGAGACAGGCACGGCCGCCGGTAACAAAACAAATTTTGATCGAAAAAAGGGAGACCTGCACGCACGCGATAACGCAGCGAGACCTACACACTCCGGAACGGTTTGGAAGGTCTTCTCTCTGTCCAACAGGGAAGCCGAGCACAGCAACGTGCCGCAGCACCACTTTTTCTTTCGTTTTCTCTTCCAGAAGCTCGCGCGCGCGGTTAAAGGAGCACGCACTTACTTATTTTTGAACACTCGACTCGTCTGCCAACGGCGACGCCGTTCTACTTACGTTGGCTATGTCGCTGCAAATTCCGCTTATGGCGTTTAACAACGAACTATCCAGAAAAGAAAACGAAAACGTCCGCCTCTCAACGTTTTTTTGTTTTCTGCCGAGTTCACACACGCGCACCCACCAAAGAAAGAGGAGAAGAACAATTTAACAGGTCATCGCGACGAGCCGCACCACTCGACTAACGACGACGACGACGACGACGACTGTGTCCATGTGTGTGAGAGCCGCTGAGAGTTTACTTTACTATATATGCGCGCATACATGCTAGTCGAGGCCTTCTCTTGCGCCGCCATGTACACATGTACGCATGCACACAGACACATATATACATGTAACGAAAGTAGAGGGCCTGCGTGCGCAGGCTGATTTCATGAATCGCTTTCGATGATGATGATGGCATCCTGATTATTTTTTTGAAAGACGAAAATACGATTCATAGGATGACGTATGGTATGCTTGATTTTTCATGATTTCATGAAATGAGAATTTTTAATTTATTCCTTTATCTAAACTAAAATAAACAATTTTATTCAGAAAAATTAAGAAGTTCGTGTAATCAATATGGCAGATATAGAGGTGTGTCGTGAGCATCAAACATTAACAGCTGATTACAGTATCACCGTAGCAAACCATTGGTCGCTTGCGTTGCAACTTGCAATGCTGCTGCTCCCGCAGAAAATAAGTAAAAGGTGACGTGATTGTGTACACACAACATCGGAATTTTTGCGAAAAGACGACAAAAAGGCTAATTTTTTATTCAATCTGGCTCCTACGAAAAACACCACAGCCATGTTAAAACCCAAAGCTCTTACACAAGTTTTGAGTCAAGCCAATACTGGAGGCGTCGAAAATACTTTGTGAGTGTTTACCAACTTTGAGCCTTAACCTCAAAAATCATCTACGAGTTATCAAATGTTTTGCATTATTGGCTCCAAAATTAAAACTCCAGTATTTTTTAGATAGCCTAATTCTATTTCATTCTGGAAAAACGTCTAGATGTTTAGACAAATTGAAAATGTCCATGATTTAGAAAACAAAGTCAAGGTTATTCCTAGCTAGACTAACATAGATTGCGCGTTTTTCAAACTTTACTTTATGAGTCATGTTTGTTTTTTATTTATTTGTTCAATGTCTAAGCAACGATTAAAACGTTATATTCATTTTGATTTAAAGATTACTTAATAGAGATGGTGGATTGTTAGCGTACAGTGGCTATGGAGATAAAGATGCTCGAGTAACTGCTGCCATTACTAGTAATATCTGGTCAGCATATGAAAAAAATGGTCGAAATGCTTTCAAAGAAGATGAACTCAAATTTGTTCTTATGGAATGTGCTGTGAGTTTCACGTTATAACATACTTTTATTCTAGTTACACAAATTTAATCTCCATTTATTTGAATATTGTTCCTATGTCCATAATGATCTTATAAATCAATCACCTGCTAATTGATGAATTTTATTTTAGGAAGGCAAGGTAGTAATTACAGAAGTAGCCAATTTGTTACTCTGTCTTTATGCTAGACAGAATGTTGGCTTTGGACTGCTAAGAGAAAAAGCACAAGCACTGGCAAAGTATCTGGATGGGCCACTGCGAACAATAGCAAACATGCCATAATAAAGAAATCTCATTAATAGTTTTTAAGTTTCCATATTACTTTATATATTATTACTCAGAATTAAGCATTGAACAGACAATATTGTTTATTATGTTGTAATAAAAAGAAAAAGATAATTTGTATGCAAGAGGGTTTTTGTTTATTCTGTCTTTTCATTTAATACAATTTACAATCGATACAAACGATACATACTTTCGTCATCTGATGTGTATTTCGCATATATATATACATATACGAAGATAGTGTCGAGCATGTTTAACGCGTGCATCATATAAGTTTCAAGAGTAGAATTTGTAATATATTTATATATATCCACCTCTTACAATCGACTATAAATTTCATTTTGCCTCGTACAGGGTACAATATAGCGTGTAATCGGCCTACTATGTACAACTCGCGCGACGCAGACGATATCTCGTTACGTGTTTATTTTTCTTATATCCTCGATTCTTTTGAGTAAGATTATAAGTACAAAATGTATAATATTGGTCGAGTCCGAATCGTTTGAAGCTCACTATCTACAAACTTTTGTCAAACCAAAGATCGCAAAAGCATCTCCGTTTGAATGATTTATATTCTTCACATGCCTATTCATTTGTTTCTTAAATAGCGACACAGCTATCTAAATATACATATTGTCGAGAGCGCTTTTCTTTGTATATTATTATTTGTTTTACCTCCACTACATTTCCGTGATTGCCTATTTTTTAAGTCTACAGTCGTCTATAAATTGTATAATCATTACAGCTGAGCCTCGCCCTGCGATTGAAGATCACGCACCGAGCGGAGATATAGCGGGCTTCATTATATCACAAAATTTTAAATACCTCTTACGTTTGTGACCAGAATCAGATGTCGGTACACTATTCTTTTCTGTTGTTTGTATATACGTATGTAAGCATTAAATTATGTATATATGGTTTATAAGGACTCAAAAAATTGTTCTGCTACTACACATATGCTGCTGTCAAGGTATACGTTCCAATTTCTATATATACTGACCGATGTCGCGCTTGTAGAAAAGATTGTTATGTCCGACAGGCAAACACCAGCTTGCGTGTGGTAATGAGACATAATTACAGTCACCGTCGTCGGATACGTTATTATTATTATTCATACGATTACATGCTGTATAATTATGTATACACGTACATAAAATACATACATACGCGGGAATAACATTTAATATTGCACTCCACTTGTTATTTAATTTTTGTTTGTTTTACTGTCTAGTCTACAGAAATACCTATTACAGACATCGGTAACAATCAAGATATATCGGATCGAAATACATAGTATCTCTTGACAACTCCATTATACATGACTACCTTTTTACTTATTTTTGTAGTGTGTGCGCGTGCGTGTGTACGTGTGTGTGTGTATGTGAGTGGGTGTGCGTATTGTGTGTGCCACCAAATATCACGCAGACGGTAGAAAAAACCGTATTGTAAGTTGCAAATTTACATTTTATGTTTTCCAGGGCGGCAGTGCAGAGGTTCCGTTTTTTTTCCCTCATCTTCGAATACATTTTTAATACGTTTACGCATGCGAATGCACAGTTTGAGAGATAAAGTCGCTGTCGGAGAGTTGAAAACTTGAATTGTTTTGAAATATTTGGCGTTGTAAAAAATCCAATTTACGACTGGATATCAATTTCAATTTTTTGAAATCTTATCAATAATTTTATTTGAAATATCGCTGACCCTTTAATTTCTCTTCGATCTATTCCAGTCTTCAATTTTTCATAAAAAATTACTTGTTCAATAAAATATAACAATAATAATCCCTTTTTTTTATAAAAGATATAAATCACTTTCGAAAACTCTACATTTCAATCGTAACCATTGAAATCGAAAACGTTGGCCCTTACTAAATTTGTAAAAGTAGGCACTGTTATATAAATACGAGGTTGAACAAAATAAATTTGAAAGCACGATTAGACATTTAAAGCTCCATTTTCAAACTCAAGGAGCAAGTTTGGGATAGTGCTCGATAATACTTTCGCACAACATTAAAACTCCAAAACAATTCAGCATCTCAGACAACAGCTGTCCATGGTCGCTCTCTCGAAGCTCAAAACGTGCTCTTTAAACGGAAAACAATGAAGGCTATTGAGAAACGAAGGTACCGAGGTGACAATTATGTACAATGAGAGTAGAGTGGTGGAGAGGGAGAGGGGGGGGGGGGGGGGGGCTATCGCAGAAGGAAAAGCGTGTGACGCACGTGGCGTAAAGAAGAATAACACTAAGAGTAATGCGAAGTTTGTTGAGAGCTGCAGAGTTACTGCAAGTTTGCTCGTGTCAGTGTGTCTCAGTTCAGTTAGCGTGGCGTTGTTGCTGATTACGGTGGGGCCAATTGTGTGCGAAGCTTGCCCTGGACTTGCGTGCCAGGTGCTTGAGAAGCGGCCACAGCCGCGGCAGGCAGCAACGCAATAAACCGCCGGCCGCCGACGATTCTGTCAGCCCTAGGCCCGTGTATTACATCCTTGAGCCTTTTTGCTGCAGCACCTACAAAATCAAAAGACCACCAGATTCGACCACGTGCACAATGGATTGGCTTCTTTTATTGTCACCAGGTACGCTAATGTGTGCGTATGTGCGCGCGCGCGTGTGTGCGTGAGTGTGTATGTACGTAAGAGTATGTTGAAGCAAGCTCTTTGCCGTTTTCAGCTTGATGGAACTGCTTTCCAAAGTTGCTAAGATCTTGAGAGCAGATTGAGAGGCTTTATGAGACGGTTTGCCAAGTGCTGTGCGCGTCATTGAATAATAATAAACAGAATAGCTAATACTATTATTTTCAAGTTTTATCAATAGTCTTTTCACATCTTTTAAACAGATAGATTTTCAGGATGGTCATGCGAAACTGACAAATTTCAGACCTCTTTGTTGCAAAATGGATTGACAACGTTCAACAAACTCATCCCTTATATTCTTTTTCTAAGTTTATTTATCTCTAAATAACGATTTATTTCTGAACAGTGATAATTTTTACATATTTTACTACCGTTAAAAATCAATCATGATGTAAATTGGCTTCATTATGCGACGACATACAGTAGTTTTTCACAACTTTTCGTAATAGCTGACTTGATT